AGGAAGGAAGGAAGGAAGGAAGGAAGGAAGGAAGGAAGGAAAAAGGGAAGAAATGAGAGGCAAAGAGAAAGAGAAAGGACATAGAGAAAAAGAGGAGGAAAGAAAAAGAGAGAGAGAAAGGACACAGAAGAGAGAGATGGAAAGAGAGAGAGAGAAAGAGAGAGAGAGAAAGAGAGAGAGAAAAAGAACCCAGAAGAGAGAGATAAAGAGAGAGAGAGAGAGAGAAAGAAAGAAAAAGGAAGGAAGAAAGAAAGAGGGAAAGAAAGAAAGAAAGAAAGAAAGAAAGAAAGAAAGAAAGAAAGGAAGAAAACAGAGAGAGAGAAAGAAGGAGAAACTGCAGGGGGAAAAAAGCCAATGACATGGAGACTGGGAGTCTAGTCCTGCCTTAAGCATGAAAGCCAACTGGGTGACTTTGGGCCAATCACTAGGAAACACTAAGTTCTAGTCTCATCTGTAGCATTAAGGCCAGGTGGGTGACATTGGGCCAATCACCAGGAGACTAGGAGTTCTAGTCCAAATAAACAACCAACCAATGGATGAACGAATGAATGAATGAACAAACAAACAAACGAATGAATGAAAGAATGAACGAACAAACGAACGAACGAACAAGTGAATTGAAAAAACAAGTAAACTTCAGCCCTCTCCCCTTACTCTCTGCTAGGTGTGTGCCTATGGGCCTGGATTGAAGGGGGGCTTTGTGGGAAAACCGGCCCCTTTCACCATCGACACCAAAGGAGCTGGGATGGGTGGGCTGGGCTTGACCGTGGAAGGTCCTTGCGAAGCCAAGATTGAGTGCCAGGACAACGGCGACGGCTCCTGCTCCGTCTCCTACTTGCCCACGGAGCCCGGTGAATACACCGTCAACATCCTCTTCGCCGAAACTCACATCCCGGGGTCCCCCTTCAAGGCGGACATCAAGCCCGTCTTCGACCCCACCAAGGTGACGGCCAGCGGGCCCGGTCTGGAGCGTGGCAAGGTGGGCGAGGTGGCCACCTTCACCGTGGACTGCTCCAAGGCGGGCGACGCCGAGCTGACCATCGAGATCATCTCCGATTCGGGCGTCAAAGCCGAGGTGTTGATCCAGAACAACAGCGACGGCACCTACAGCATCACCTACATTCCTTCCTTCCCGGGCACCTACACCATCACCATCAAATACGGCGGGCACCACGTGCCAAAATTCCCAGCCCGGGTCAACGTGGATCCCGCTGTGGACACCAGCAACGTCAAAGTCTTTGGGCCTGGCGTGGAACCTCGAGGTAGGTTGTGACAACCAGGACGGCGGCCATTTTACTTCGGCAGGACAAAACGGCCGAGTCCCAAAGTAGGGAAAATATATTATAAAATTAAGAACCATCCTGTAGGAGATGATCGGACTGAGCCCAATGGAGCGGTCAAACGTGTTGAACGGTCACTAAATGAACTATTGTAAATTGAGCTGTATGAAGATTTACTGCAAACTGGAGCTCTCTACAAGAATCTGGCCAACTCACTGTTAAGGCAAATGAGCAGGAGATAAGAAGGCATTAGAAGGCGGGCTGGACTTAGATCTCTTGCAGGCACACAGGGATTCGTGACTTATAACGTGTTTGATCCCTCCCTCAATCTGATCGTTTCCTACAGGATGGTTCTTAATAGGCAGCAAATAAATTTAATAAATATAAGTAAATTTTAGGGGTGCCCCCCCCCCAGGACCAAGTGGGGTGCTCAGCATTGCTCACTCCTTTGCTGTCTCTCTCCAGGGGTCCTGCGTGAGGTCACCACGGAATTCACAGTGGATGCTCGCTCTCTCACCAAAACGGGTGGCAACCACATCCAAGTACGGGTCATTAACCCTTCGGGGGCCAAGACGGACACCTACATCACCGACAATGGGGATGGCACCTACCGGGTCCAGTACACCCCCTTTGAGGATGGTAAGGCATCCCCAATGCGCCCCCTCCCATTTCTCTCCCCCCCTATGGCTTCAATTTGAGCCCTTTTGGGGCCCTTGGATACAAAAAGCAGAAACCTATAAATCAAAGTAGCAACTGGGATTTTTCTCTTTGCAAGGGTGGCCTAGGGGTGGGGCTCTCTCCTCACAACCAGGAGGCTGTGAGTTCGATCCTAGGTAGAGGCAGATATTTCTCTCTCTGGGCACAATGAGAATATATGTCTGCTGAACAAAACTCCTCATTAGCAACAGGAAAGGCATCCAGCCAGTAAACACTCAGCTTCATTCAGTTGGCCAGATTCCAGCCCGCAAGGGATTATGGGGTCATTAAAAGAAGAAAGTGATGTTGGGAGCAATATAATAATGGAAGGGAAATTCAGAGACACCCCCCCTCTGCCCCAGATAAGGTGGCGTTGCCTAGGGGCTGAAGGCCCATCTGACCTCTTTGTCTCACAGGTATGCATCTGGTGGAGGTGACATATGATGACGTGCCTGTGCCCAAGAGCCCCTTCCGGGTGGGCGTCACCGAAGGCTGCGACCCCAGCCGCGTCCGTGCCTACGGTCCCGGGCTCGAAGGGGGTCTGGTGAACAAGTCGAACCGCTTCACTGTGGAAACCAGGTGAGCCTCCCCTGCCCTTCTCAGAGGCCCCATCAAGGATTCGGCTCTTTAGAAAGGGCCCCGGGTTCAAGGCAGAACCCCCACCCTGTCTTTGCGGGTGGAACTGGATTTAAACTGGTGTGTTTTTAAAGGCAGCCATTTTAAGATGGGCGGACTGCAACTCCCAGAATCCCCCATGGCTGGCTGGGGAATTGAAGTCCACCCAGCTACAAGTGGCCACGTTTGAAAATTGATTGTAAGCTACATCACAATGGAAAAAGGGAAATTTGCACAGGGTGAGAAGTATGGAAACGAAAGGAGGGAATTTCCTTTCTGATTGTGAATACATCTATCTCTGCATCCATCTATATCTATCAATCTGTCTGTATCCATCCATCCATCCATCCATCCATCCATCCATCCATCCATCCATCTTTGTCTGTGTCTGTCTATCTAATCTCCTTCCCTCCCCCCCTCTCTCTATCAAATCTCTATACTCTAACTATCAATCATTTATCCATCCATCCATCCATCCATCCATCCATCCATCCGTGTCTGTCTATCTGTCTGTCTGTCTGTCTCTCTCTCTCTTTCTCCTATCTCTCTCTCTCTCTCTTATATCTATCTATCTATCTATCTATCTATCTATCTATCTATCTATCTATCTATCTATCTATCTATCTATCTATCT